CCTCCTTCCTTCCTACTACTACCCTTCCCTTCCCTTCCTCCCTTCCCTTTCCCCTTTCCCCTTCCCTTCCCTCCCCTTCCCCTCTTATTACCCCCCCCCCCCCCCCCCTCCCTTCCTCGTCCTCACCTGGTAGTTGCAGATCGCCCTAGGAATCCCATCCATCGGCGTCTTGTGCTCCAGGTGGAGGTGGGAGCCTGAGACGCTGTAGGTGTACACGAAGCCAGAGGACGCATGCTTTTCGCCCATCCTCAGCCCCACACTCGTTCCAACCAGGACCAGGTGTTCTCCGTTGGCTCCAACACTCGAGCACAAGCTCAACGCTGCCTCGTCGTCGCTGTAGTTGATGATCTGCCTGCTCACTAGACTGTCCATGTCGATGACGCGGAGGGAGGACGCCCAACATCCGTTGCCTGCCCGCTGAACAAGAATAACCGTCAGCACATGACCGTACCCAGACATGCATTACCTGAACTCCAAACATCTCGTAAGAAAGCTTGTCGGCCTCTCCATCCTGGCCCTCCATGTCAACCTTATTGGCTCCGTCTTGCAGCGCCTTGTTCGCGTCGGTGTTGTGATCCGACTCGATCACCATCATCATGGTCGTGCCCTTGATAGGAGCGCACTGCCTCGGAGTGTGTGCCAGCTTGGCAGTTGCCTGACTGAAGATTTCTCCAACTCGTTCAAGGCTGAGGATCCTGAGGGAGCCTTGGGAGATGCAAACGAAACCTTCAGGGCACTGCTGCGAGCTGAAGTTCCATGCGAAGTCGAGCATGTCGTAGGAGAGAGGATCAAGGCACTGCTTGCCCTGGTGGTGGTAGGCGAGCCAAGAGCGGGAGGAAAGTGCCAGCAGGGCTTCTTTTTCTTGCACCTTCACTCTCACCAGCTTGACGGGGTTGGAGCCCAACGAACGGGTCCGAAACTCCTGAGATATCTCTCCCGTCTCGGCATTGAAGCTCATGCGCATGAGCACGCCGTTTTCGAGGCCCACGTACAAGAAGAATACGCTCCTCCCGGGTTCCCTGCTACTCCGCGAGTAGCTCTGGAGGAGGGCGATGGAGGAAGGGCGCGCCTGAAGTACCTGCCTGCCCACAACAGAACTGAAAGAGGAGGCGTCAAGGGACACCACACACAGGAACCATGCATTGTCCATGAAGGCGCCCATGATGGCAAACTTGCCAAGCGTCTGAGATGCCGACAACGGAGTCACCTCGACCGCACAGACCTCCTGGGCATTGATGTTGATCTTCCCCTTCTCCCTCAGAGTCCCCGTCCCCTCCATTTCTAGGTAGGATGTGACTCCGTCGGTCTGCGTCACCAGCATCTGCTGTTCGTTGTTGACGGACAGGATGACAGGGTTCGAGCTGGCGAAGGGGCTGGGGATGTTCTTCCCTCCCTTCATCACCTGGATCCCGTTGGTATGCACCTGGATCATACAGTCTCCCATGGTAGCGATCGAGATTGACTTGGCATGCGGCAGCAGCCCATGGTTCGCAACCGCCTCCACCGTCTCTCCGATGGACAGCACGAGGGTCTGAACGCTGCTGTGGGCAAGGGACACCACGATGTAACGATCGTGCGGGTCGGTCGAGTTCGCCTTTAGCGTCCAGACGGCCACAGGGACAGTGGGGAGCTGCGAGATGGCCATCTCAACGACGGAGAGGCCATGCCGAAGAACCCGGATGGAGGACCTCGGGCCTTTTCCGCACAGTGTGAACACTTGGAAGTTACCCTCGGAGTAAAGGTCCATCACCTTCATCCCAACGATCTGCGAGGGAACGAGTCAGGCAGAGCGAACGAGAGCAAGACAAACAGGGACGCACAGGAGACAACGACTCGATCTCTTCCACAACCCTGAAGTACTGCAGGTTGTGCGGCAGGAAGTTCGGGATGTCAATGTTCTCGTCATCGAACTGGACGCTGGTCAACCCGATCGTCGAGGTTACCTGGCCGACCTCCGACGCGGAGAAGCTGAACAGGATGTGATTCCCGAACTCCGAGCACAGCAGGAGGTACTGGTCCCTCACGATGATCATCGACTGGGCAACAGGGACTGTGTCGAGGTACTCGATGCCCAGCACATGGTCCTGCGTGCATCGTAGCGAGACAGTGATCTTGTACAGGTCGCCGATGTCGTTCTGCGCGATGAAGATCGAGAGGTCGTCCTGGATCCCCATCAACACGTAGCTTGTGATTATGACCGACTGCTCCAGAGGAAGCATGCTCCGACGCGGGATGAGGAGGACGATTTCTTCCGCGTCCGGGGACTTGAGCGCTATCTTGTTCTCGGCGCAGATCAGGACCCCGAACAAGCCGGAGAGGTGGTTGTAGACTGGTATCAGCAGGTTGGAAGAGTTGTCGATGAAGTCGTTGTACCTCACTTCCAACGAGTTGTTGGCCATATCGACCTCGTACAGGCACACCCTCCGGCTGGACACGACCGGATCTTGGAACTCATCGTTGGGGTTGTCAACGTAATCCACCTCGATCGATGCGAACATGGGAGGCAGTTCTTCCCGCCTGTCCAAGGAGGTGATGTGTACGAAGACTCGTTGAGGAGACGAGCTCTTGATCGGGGGAGGAAGCACCACCTGATTCGCGTCATCGAGTTGTACTTGGAAACCGATCAGGTTCTTCTCGAGGGATCCGATCACGAGCGCTCGCCCGTACATGTCGGCTGCAAGATGCTGGCCAGGAACCATCCTCCGACATCCTGACTTCCCATAAGTCTCCAGGTAGACCCTCTCGAACTGATTCATGACATGGTTGTACTCGATTATGGCCAGCTTGCCTGAGTCGGACGTTAGGAAGACGCAGTCCTTGTCATATCCTGGCAGTCGAGATGCAGCCATGGCTCTCACGATCGCAAAACACTCCATGTTGCAGAGCGAAAGAATCCTGCCCTGCTCATCCACCTGCAACAACTCGATGGCCCTGCCATGAGCGACGACTATCTCATGATTGCCGCACCCAGTGAAGTTTCCGCGGACGGCGAAGGTGATGGCAGATGGCCGTTGAAGCGTCAATGAATAGAGATGCATGATAGGGTTTTGTTCCTGTGATCAACTTCTCTGCAATGCCAGCGGATCGCTCCTATTCCTTCAAGATCCCCTGCTTTGCCCCTCCTTGAAACCGCCGACCCTCCACAACCAGTACTTCTGGCGCAAGCTTCTATCAGGAACACACACTCCCTAGCGCCTCATCGCGCTCTCTCAACCATCCCTCCCCGCCGCGTACTCTCCCGCCTCCTCTTCCCGCCTCCTCCTCGCGCTCTTCCTTCCCATTCCCTGCCCATCACGCGCTTCCTCTCTGTCCGCGCCCTTCCCGTGTTCCCCTCATCCCCACTTTGACCAAAACCCTCATCTCCTCTCTGACCATCATCTCCCTCATATCCTCCGAGCCGTCAACAACATGGCGGAGGAGGAGCGTGCGGTGGGGGAGGGCGAGGGGCTCCGAGGGGCATGGCGGGAGGCTGAACATCTGCTTCCTTTGGTAAGATATGCTGTGATGCAAGCTGCGAGCGCTTCCTTCCCTTCCTCTCTGCGTCCTTGAAACCTCCTCCCTCTGTCCTTGTCCTCGGAGCTACTTCGATGGGTTTGGGAGCTGACCCTGCGCACCAGGACGAGGTGGTCAGGAAGGAGGTGTGGGAGGGAAGCATCCCGATCAGAGTCGAATTAGCACGTCAAGATGTCTCCACGTTCGAGGCGCCGATGCCGTTCTATGTGCAGGTCCTGTTCCTTGATTCCTCCTCCCCCCTCCCCTGACCCTCCCTGCAACAGGCTCCAAGGATGGGGTACTTCCCCCTCGTACTGGGACAAGCAAAAGCTTACTTCCAGAACTATGTGCCAGCAGTATGCTGCAACGACAGGTTCCTTCCTCGCAGCGCTGCGGTCAGCGTGACGCGCGATGACCCTTGGAGCTCTACAGGGAGATGTGGCTGGAGCACAAGGGGAACGCGCTCAAGTGGCATCTACCGACAGGGGTGCTGTTTGACCTGCATGCTCATGGAGAGGTGAGCTCCTGCTGGGTCTCCTCTCCTCCTCTGCGCCTCATGGAAGAGCAGGACTTGCCCTGGCATCTAACGCTGCATTTCTCGGGGGTGGAGACGAAGGGTAGGGGTGCGGGCGGTTGGGAGACTATGATCGTGTGACCTATGATGCAGGCTTGTTGCCTTACGAGGGAGACGTGTCCTTGAGAAGACACTTCCGACAAACCTTGAAACAGGTCCTTCTGCCCCTGCCCCTGCCCCTGCTAACCTCCTTCTGCTCCTGCTCCTGCTCCTGCTCCTCTACCTCGTCCTGCTGCTGCATTGACGTTGCCTCTCCGCCTGACAAGTGCAGCTACCACGCTTGACTATATTGCTCCACTTTCTCTTTCCCTGCTCCTCTCTCCATTTCATCGTACTACAGCCCATCGTCCATCTTGACCGCATGGCAGGCAACGTCTTTGAGGTATGGGAGTTGTAAACGAGTCAACAATCTGTCAGTGGCGCAAGTTAGCAGATGCTACTGCTTGTGTTCCGCTCATGTTTGACAGATGGAGCAACTGTGGAGCTCCTTGCAAGAGAACAAGTTCGAGAGGTTTCCATCCTCGTCTTCCCTACCCCCTCAAACATTTAAGCACCTCGTCCTCCTCCTGAAGTGATTCAACATTCCTGTTCTTAGTACCCCCCCCTCCTCTACTTTCTCTTTCTTCCATTTCCAGCCTCCTTTTTCCTTCCCGCCTCCTCCGCTTCTCATCCCCTTCCCTTCTTCCTCCTGCTTCCTTCCTTTCCCGCTTCGCCTGCTGACTTGATGTTTTCTGCAGCTTCACGTCTGTCAATAGCGAGCTTCTCAAACTCTCAACTCCGGGGCCCTCGGGCCTCACGGAGATCAAACGACTTCCGTTGCGGGTAACAACAACAATCTCCTTCCTCCTCATCGTCCTTTCTTTTTCCGCCTCCTGCATCTCCTCTTTCCACCTTTCTTTGTCCCCTCCCCTCCGATGTCAACCACCTCCTCCTCTTCTGCTTTCTTGTCGTCATTATCCTTCTGCTTCTGGCACCAGCAGCACGAGGCTTAGTTCTCGTCGCAGATTTATCTTCCTCATTTGCCATCGCCAATCCAGCAGCCGTTCACTCCCTTCAAGGTTGCCTACTGAAAACAAGGAGGAGGAGGAAGGGAAGAAGAGGGAAAAAGACGAGGAGGACGAGGAGGACGAGGAGGAGGAGAAGGAGGAGATCTCAGAAGAGGAAGAGGAGGAGGAGGAGGAGGATGACTTTGCTTGCAGGATGATGGTCATCTGACAACCTTGCATGATGTTTTGCTACAGATCCTTCCAGGTCTCTTCGAGGTGAGCTGATCGTGTCTCTACCTGTTTCCTTGACCTGCCTCTTCCCTAGACGACTCGCCTGTCGTTTGCCAAGACACAAGAAGAAGAGGGAGAGGATGCTGGCGATGATCAGAGACCGACAGTCCTTGTGCAGGGGATCTCGCCGCCGCTACAGGTCAAGAGGAGGAAAGAGAGGAGAGGAGGCCGAGGAGGCATGGAAACACGGGATGAAGTGGTCTTGAAGGGGCAGGGGCACAAGAAGGAGAGCGAATCAATTTGGAGAAAGTCTGACTTGCGCTCCTTCTGCAGACTCCTGTCCTCTGGCTCTGCCAGCAACTAGCAGGAGCTGATACCTTCCTCTACATCTGCGTTATTCCCAAGTCCAAGGTGACTTTTCGTTCCTCCCCTCCCTCCCCTCACATCCTGTGCGCTGCAGGATCAAGAGGTGTTTGCTAGTTAGTAGGGCAGTAGTGCGGAAGATAGTGAAGGTTGAGACAAGTTTGAGATTGTAAAGGGTGAAAGTAGATTAGCAGGAGGACTTGAGGGGGTTGGAAGGCGACGCCGGAGACAGGAAGGAGAAGCGAGGAAGTCCCAGGTGACTTTTCGAAAGGGGAGGAGAAACCAGGAGCTTGGTGTATACAGAAGGAATGTAAGAAAGAATTCATTTCCATCAAGGGGTATCTTAACGGGGAGCAATCCCTCCCTTCCCCTTCCACTGCCCTCCTCCTCCTCCTCAGAATCTTCCGAAGCAGTTGCATAGGGTTGGCTCCTTGGTGTCTGCTGCTGGCGATTTGAGCTTCGCCAACTCATCTCTGAGCGTAGAGAGTTCGAACTGGTTCTGAAGGAGCGCCTCCCGCATTTCCTGTGAGCTAAACGTTCAGAACAGAGATAGAAAAAGAAGAGGAGGAGGCAAGGAAGGGTGTTGGAAGAGCGCAAGGGATGAAAGGAGGATGACATCGGATGTCATGGAGACTTGCTGCATACCTTGGCCTTGAGACAAGTCTCGTTCGCCATGAGGTCTATGTCATCCCTGGATGACTGCTGCTCCAAGGAAGCATTCAATTCTGCCACACCGTCCTCCTCCTCCTTCCGAGCCTCTGGGTCACTGTCCAGACCCTTGATCTCCACGTCTTTGACCTCGACAGTTGGTCGGTCCTGCTGTCTCTTTCTATCTCGATCCTCCTTGGCCTCGGTGGGAAGGTTCTTGTCCTTGATGGGAGCAACTCCAAGCTCTGTAGAGCTGTTACGGTTCAACGAGTTCCACGTCACCACGGAAGGGAACGAGGAGAACTTGTGCAAGTGAATAACTCGCGGAGGGAACCAGGACACCACGGAAGGAAGCGCGCGGAAGTCCGTGGGAGCAGGAGAAGCCAGGGCCTGGGAGGCCTCCTCCTTATCAGCCATCCACTCCTGGTCAACCTTGGGCAACTTCAGCTCCACTTTTGTCTCAATGACGGCCGGCTTCGGCGCCTGGAGCCTCGTTGTGTCCTCCCAGTTCTTGTGCTGTGCCTTGTGATGGCGCGGAGATTGCGACCTCCTTGCCTGCTCGCGACTCATCCTGTTGCCTTCGATGATGATGGTGGCTTTCTCCCCGCAAACGTAACGATACATCCTCTCGATGGCCTTCATCGCGATCTTGTTGGTCTTCTCCAGCTCCAGGGTCTCGTCCATGAGGACGTTCTTCTTGTTCACCAGGTTATGTACTTCGCTGTTGTTCATCTCGAACTCCTCCTTGAGCCTCTTCACCTCCTTTTCATGCTCCTCCCGAGAGAATTCAATCACCTCCAGGAGCTCGTTGATCTTCTTGTTCAGCTCGTCCTGCTTCGCCTGCGACTCAGCTGTGATCGACCCGATGTGATCTTTCAAGATCTCCAGGTCGGTGCTGTACTCTTCAGTCCGCCTGCACTCGTCCGCGAGCTGCTTCTTCGTGGTCTCTAGCTGCTCCACGAGCTGAGCATCAAGCCCTGCAGACTCTTTGAAGATTTCAATCTCCTGATCCCTCTCAGCTACTTGAGTCCTCAACTGTTCCTTCTCAGCCAGCAGGCTGCTCTCTCGCTCCTTGGCAGCGCCCAGCTCGAGCTCTAGAGCTTCTACCTTGGACTTGAGGGAGTCCAGCTCGACCATGCCGTTGGTTGCGAGGTCCTTCTCTGTGTCAAGCTTCTCTCTCAACGAAGAGAGCTCCGACTCCAAGCTTTCGATCCTCGAACTCTTCTCCCGAATCTCCGACTGCAGCTCCTTCTTCAGGTTGTCCTGCTCTTGCGAATGGGTACTCTTCGAATCCGTTATCTGGTTCAGCAGCTCCTCGTTCTGCTTCGATAGAATGCTGTTCGACATCTGCTGTCCCTCCAGCGCCTTCTGGATCTCATCGATATGCAAAGACAAGCCTTCCACACGCTTTCTGTATTGCTCATGAATCACTTCGAAATTCTTCTCGAGGCTCGCGAGCCTGCTCGAGGAATTTTCTTGCAGCCTGTTTGCATATTGGCTCAGCTCGTTCAAATGTTGACTTTCCGATGCTGACATCTTGGACCAGAGATCTAACAACAGACCGGTCAGGTACTCAAGAAGCATGTCAAACCCGTCAGCAAAGGAACATACCGATGATCTTGGTCATGGTCTTGGCCCTTTCGTCCTCTTTCTGATGGCCGGTCTTGATCTGAGTGAACAGCTCGAAGATCTGTCGTTTGTCAGCGATGGTCTCAGAGGCCATCCTCGTCAACGTGATCTCTACAGAGGCCTTGAGATGCATGTCAGTCTACACAAAATCAAAGTCGAGCTCCTTCACCTCGCCTCCTCTCTTGACCTTGAGCGTCACAACCGATCCCGGCTCATCGGTTCCCACCAGGTGAGTTGTAATGTCGTCGTTGTTTACAGCCACCCCATCGATTTCTTCGATGACATCTCCTCTTGCCAACTTGCCGCAAGAGTGAGCTGGACCTCCGATCACCATCTCATCGATGTTGCATCCCAACAGGCCGAGTCCCAATGTCGCCTTGTGCGCATGCGCTTCGTCCGACACGCTGTCGATGGCCTTGGGCTTGAATCCTTCAGCGAGCTCTTTCTGCAAGCCTCCGATCACAGACTTGCACTCCTCTATCGCTTGCAAGACAGCTGAATTCTTGGGATCTTCGTCAAAGTTCCCCGAGTCCGGACGGGCAGGTGTCGATGCACTTGACATGATATCCGGCTTGTTTGCAAAGTTGTCGAGGGAGACTTGCATGTGGCTCACAGACAGATGCTGTACATACCAAGCTCTGAGGAGAAGGCGATTGGTCAGAAAGAGCTTCAGAACTATACAGAACAAGATATGTCTTGGAGCAACAAACCACCTTTATCAGCGTACCGCACCCCTCCAAAATCTTTGTGGAGTGGTGAACATGATATAACAGAAGAAAGGCAAGGGCAACAATCGGTTTTCATGCAAGCAGATCAAATATCTGAGATGCATTGTTTCAATGCTGAAATGAGATGAACATCTCGTATGGTCAACTTAGCGAGTTCGGCATGAAAGGAGAGGTAGTCTAGCAAGATAAAATGGGTGAGCACGGAAGGCAGGTGATGCCCTGAATTTCACAGAGCCATGAGACAATGAATCAAGGAACAAGGAGGAAAGGATGGATGATCTGAAAGAAAGGAAAGGCAAAAATAGAGCATGCGGAGCGGGAGAAGCTGGCAGTCGCAAATTTCAGGATCTTCTTGCCATTGCGGTCGCAGGGCCCAATTGGAACCAGGTGGTGGTGGGGGTCGATTTTGTAATTGCAGAAGGTGGAGGGGTAGGGGTCTCAGTTGAAGGGGTGGGGGTGTACTTTTTCAGTTGCTCAAGGGGTAGGGGTGAGTGTTTGGTCGATTGGGTGGGTACAAGTAGAAGGTAAGGGGTGGGGTGGAACGGACCATCTTCGAATGAAGGGTATTTCACATATGAAAAAAGATTCGACAGAGGGGTGGGTATGCCTGCTTATGTAAAAGGGTGGTCTGAAGATAGATCAAGGGTAGGGTAGTAACAATGAGTGGAAACTCTGCCGTACGACAAAAATGGGGGTAGGTGGTACCCTAATCAGCCCATCGGCTTGTGGGGGAGGGTTGTGGGGTGGTGGTGATAAGTATTCGCTACCCCCTCAATGCAATGTATTTTGCGAGGTAGGGGTCCACATCCTATTTTGGTATGCCCGAGGTCGGTAGTAGGCTGAGGTGGGGTTATTAGGCGAGTTGACACCAAAAGTGGGTAGGGTAGTCGATGAAGTTGGACGGTGGTGGTACCACCTTGGGCTTCGAGTCCAGCTTTCAAGGTAAACGGTGGGGTACAATGAAAATTGAGGGGGTAGGGTGGAACGGAATGTGGTAGGGGGTGGAACTCGTATGAGGTACTTCACATTGTGGAAGAATGGTGGGTACTTGAATATCCATGGTAGGGGTCATTGTGTGACAGCATTTTGATCCCTAGGACCCTGTCCTAGCACGTATATGAAAAAGCTCTGCCAGGAATTGTCCTCGAAGATAGGGGTGATTCTTCCAGTGATGGGTGGGTACAGACCCGTCGCCATAGATGACACCGGTGGAAACTCCTAGTAGAACTACCTGGGGTGGTAGACCCTTGATGACACCTTTGGAGGTCTTTTGACAGGGGTGGGGTGGTTTTTTCTGGGGTAGGGGTCTGAAGAGTAAAACAATTGTAACGATCAATGTAACGTACATGAAAATAACGGAGAAAAACGGAGAGTATAACCTTTTGTAACTGCCATTGAAGGGGCAATGCCGTATATAGATGCGTCATGCGGGGCATGCTGCCCCAATGGCGCGGGACATGCTGCCTGATCCATCCCATTCATTCACATCCTCCGTTCTCATCCTTGTTCTTCCCCTCCTCCATCCTTCCCCTCCTCCATCCTTGCTCTCCTCGTTTGTCGCTCCCTCCTACCTCCTCCCTAAGATGGTTCCTCTCCTTTCCTTTCCCCCGCACCACCCTAAATCCTCACTCTTGATACCTCCCTCTCTATGACTCGAGCATTGATCACATAACTTCTTCTCTTCCTTGCTGCTGTCATTGCATACTGCCACGATCCTGATCACTCATTGTTTTCCGGTCCCGACAACCTTCCACACTACCGTCATGTAGCATTTCTAGACTTTGTGATTGGTGTCGTTCACATCCGCGCGCATCTCCGTGCCCGCGCGCGTGTCAGTAGCAGAAGTTTCCTCGATCCATCATAGACGCTCAATCTTCAATCTCTATCCCATGATGACACCATGCTCTGCAGGTTGATACCATGTACAGCGACCTCCTCCCAGTCACGCTGGGTTACCAAGATGGCTACAAGAAGGGCTACAAAGAAGGATTCAAGGTCCCCTCTTTTCCCTCTTCGTTCTTGTTTTGCCTGTCTCCTCCTGCTCTTGTGGATTTCCCGTTCGATGCCTTACTCCTCTGCCTTACACCTCCTTTGTTATGTTCCTCATCTCACCGTCGATCGTTCACAGACCTCCCTGGGCTTCAAGTCTGGTTATGAAGCTGGCATCGAGCTGGCAAAGAAACGTGCTTTAGAATCCACCTACACTTCTCCTGTCCTCCCCTCTGTTGCCACTCAGCTCGTTCCTTCTCCCGTTCAGCCTGTTCCTACCCAGCTCGTAGCTCAAGCCCCGCTGTATCAGCCAAGGGCGTAAGCGTGAAGCTTTGAGGAGGTTCACAGGATGAAGGGCTACGGGGCTATTCCAACTGAGTCTGGGGGAGAGCCTGGCTGGGGCTCGAGCAAGAGGGAGGAAGCGAGTGGTGAGCAAGTGTTCAAACGCCGGACTGCCATCGCAGCGGCTTTGTTTGCCTTCCTCTCCCTCCTCTTGTACGTCGTCGTGAAGCTGAACCCGGAGAGCTCTCGAGAACAAAGCAAGGATGCTGACCGGGTGGACGTCCTCGAGCACACACTGTATGCTCTCCAGCACTTCTGGCCGAGCAGAAAGCATGACAGGGATGACTTTGCCCAGCCAGCAGATGCCAGCGTGATGTTGTCAAGCTACTGTTGCGATGAGTCGATCTGTAGCAAGTACGCCCTAGCTGCCTGCAAATCTCGCAGGGACAAGCAGCGCAGAGAAGACAAGGAGTCTGCGGAGATAGAATCCTACCTCGACAGCGCAGACTCCAGCTCCCCCCCAGCAGTTGTTGACCACCCTGGCGCGTCAGGTGCCGCATCGGCCATGGGGCTGCAGTACGCGGGGAGCCAGGGGTCGACAAGGAGCTACTACGGGATGCAGCGCGACAGGGCCTTGAAGGCCTTGGCCGCTAAAGAGAGTTCCGACGCTCCAGCTCCTACGGTTGGGCTGATCAAGAGGAGGTCTGCGCGGCATGAAGGAGCACTCAAGGCGGCCGAGGCTTTCGGGCTGCACTTGGCGAACGTGCCGGGAGGAGGGTCTGACGGGTCCCGTGAAGCTCAGCCTGTTGCCATGGCAGCTCGACGACAGAGGACGCAGAGTCTACTGCAGGAGGGGAGCGCTGGGTCGAGCTCGCCCGTCGGCCTCCGGAGGGAGGATAGCGTCTTCTTTGCCCCGATCAACCTCGCGTCCAACGCGATCTCAAAGGTGTGGAAGAGCGTGCAGAGAAGCGACGGGAGGCAGTCGGAGGGCGCGGGGGCGCAGGGGATGCTGCATGCGTCCTCGTACCCGACGACTGTGAGCGGCTACTACCATCCTCTCTCCGGCATGGTGACGGACATTAAGAGCCGAGGGACGACAAGTGGAGGGGAGCTGGAGACTTCTGCTTCGCTGGATGTGGCGGGGCAGCGAGTGACTCCGCTCGGCACGAGGACGTACAACGTCGGCAACATCTTCCCTTCGCCGGCAACGGCTCCTCCTGCCTCCGAGGACAACGGATACGGTGTGTACAGTGCGCCCAACGGTTGGGAGGACGGGAGTGCACAAGGGATTATGAGCATCCGAGTCGGGACGCCTTGTGGGGTCTTCGATAGCTATCCCTGTGAAGTGAAGCCAGAGGTTCACCTCACAGTTGAGGTGTTCTGCCCTCCGTACAAGGCGCCAGCTCATGGTAGCGTCTGGTACAACGGGACAAGGTACTGGACTGTGACAAGCAAGGAGAAGGAACATAAGATGTGGAAGATGGGAGCAAAGGAGGTGCCGATAGCTCAGGATGGAGATATTCCTGCCGGCGAGCAGGTTCGGATCGAGTGCGACATCCACTACCGGCCGAGCTCTCGGGGCTCCATCACCCCGCGCTGCCTCGACTCGGGGAGTTGGGAGGAGGGGAAAGTCTGCGAGCCGATCATGTGCGATGCCTACGTGGCTCCGCTGCATGGGGTCGCCGTCCCGGCTCGTCCTGTCATGGCAGGGCAGCAGGTTGAGATCATCTGCGACGAGGGTTACGAGGAGTACTACGGCGATGAAGAGGAGGAGGATGTCGCCCCCGTTTCTCAGCTCGTCAAGCAAGACCCTTGGTGGGACTTCAGCTCGTGGTTTGCTGGGCCCAACCAGGGGAAGAAGGGGAACTTGATCTCGATGCAGGCAGGCCCGCAGACGGCGTCTCAGGCCGTGATGGCATTGAACGGGAAGGTGAAGGAGGGGAGCGGGAAGCAGCTCAGAAGGTCGCTCTCGAAGTCGCTGAACGAGGTAGACAAGAAGCTGAAGAAGCTGAAGAAGGAGAAAGAGGCGCTGAAGCATCGCGACCTCCTCTCTCAGCAGATCACCAAGATGAGCAGGATGGATGTTGACAGGATGGTGGAGGCGTTTGTGAGGGGAGGAGACGCTCCTGCACGCCCGATCGTCGCCCTGTCTGCAGGAGCAGCGGCAGCGAGCGAGCTCGTGTCGGAAGAAAGAAAGGCAGGACGTCAGTCGTCGAGGAAGCTGCTGTCGGTGAAGCCGGAGAGGTTCAAGAAGTTCCCGGTCTGCCTGGACTCGGGCAAGTTCCAGCAGGGCATCCTTTGCCGGTCGAAACCCCGTCCGGTTATCCGAGCCCCCCCTGGGCCCAAGGGAGAGGAGAGGTTCGGATCCTTCGGGGGCAGGATCGCCCCTCCCCGAGGCACCTACATCGTCCCTCTCATCTGCCCCTCCTACATCGCGCCTGACCATGGGAGCGTCTGGTACAAGGGGCAGGAGTACAAGATCGCCACGGCATCGGGCATCCATGCCACGGAGAAGGTGAAGATCACCTGCCATAAGCACTTCAAGTACGCTCCTCCTCCCACCTAGATCTCCCCCACCTGACGCCCACCGCAGGCCCAGCAGGATCGGCAGTGACGAGCCGCAGTGCCTCATGAACGGGCAGTGGGAGGTAGGGAAGACTTGCGAGCCCATCTACTGCGCCGACTACGGGGAGGTCAAGAACGGCATGGTCAGCACGCACGACTACGTCCGAGCAGGGACGAGGGTGCAGATCACCTGCCACAGGTGGTACCAGCCAGCTGGGCTCGAGTCGGGGGGCCGCACAGACCCCATGTGCCTGGACTCTGGGCAGTTCGAGCAGGGGGTAGTCTGTGTGCCGAAGCCTTGCCCGGTCGACTCGCACGACTGCCCGCAGCAGGGAGTGGTGACGTCAGAAGGGATACAGCCGCACGTGTCCAAGGCGCAGGAGAGAGACTACGAGCAGCAGCTGCAGGTGCCGATGCAGCACGACTACAACCCCAACGTGTTCGACCAGGAGCCGCGTCCTTACTCCCTCGACATCCCTCTGGATGGGGAGGACACGCTGCTGCGGCCCGTGGACTCTCGTCGGGTGAAGTGGAGAGACACGACAAGGAGCTGGACCAAGTGGGACGACGCTCCCAACTCGTGGGACGATTCCTCGGGGCAGTGGTACGCTGACGAGCGGTCCCCTGGAGCTGGAGCAGGACAGTACGTGGAAGAGGGAGACGGGAAGTAGGCAAGGTGTTCAATGAAGACAGGAGGTGAGGAAGTGAGAGAGTCCTGCTTTACAAACCACAGAATACATACAAGGATTCCTTCCAGAGCTCCTTACCACCATACTTCCATCAACATCCCAAACATAATAATGCTGTCCTGCTCCACGGACCAACCCTGCTTCAGCCAGGCGTCAAAACAGAAACGGTCAGGAGGGCAAGCTTGTCCCATAGGCTTGCAGGAGTGAAGGTGCAAGTTAGCGGGCATGGAGATTGTCTGCAGGTGAAGAGCAGCAGGGAATGCAAGAGAGAGGATGCTGTGAATGTGACAGGCCCTCGAGTTCCTTGGGTGCGAGAAATTGACATTGAGATGGAGATGTTGATGTCCGTTGTGAGAGTGAAGAAGGCCTGATGCTATGAAAGCAAAGACAAGAGGCCACAGCAGCAACCTGAGGATCGCAACGACGAATCTTGGAGCTGTAGTCATATGAAGCCTTCGTCTCTTCTTCACCCAGTGCTCCTCGTCCTTTTCCTCGAGTCTTCCAGGGTCCAATTCAACCCCAGTCCTTTCTTCGCTCTCCTACTCAGCCCTGCCGCATAACGACCGTGCTCAATACTGCGGTATCTTTGATGAGATAAGCTGATGAGCGTAGGAAGCAGAGTGCTGGTTGCCGGTGATTGTAATGATCCTGTGGTTGGTTCCTGGTACGAACTCTCCTTTCTGCGACACTCTTATCTGCGCTCCACTCGCCTCCATCATCTCCCGGATCACCGATCCCCCTTTCCCCAGCAGGGCTGGGACCACCTCGTCAGGGACGTGTACAGTGTACGTAACTGTTGGGTTCGAGATGTTGGAAGTCCTTGGTATCCCCCCTCCCATCCCTCCCATCCCTCCCATCCCTCCCATCCCGCTTCTTCCTCCTGTTCCTGGCAGGCCGGGGCTGTCACTCGGAGGTAAACTATCCTGCATCCCGAAGGAGCGTCCATAGGGAGCATCGAGCGACTGTCCGTTGGGAGGGAAATTGTCGTATCCTTGCTGACCATAAGGGGCTCCGTAACCTCCCATGCCCATGCCCATACCCATACCCATGCCCATGCCCATTCCCATGCCCATGCCCATGCCGGTCGGCGCCATGTACGGATCCGGCTGTTGACCTTTGAATTGATTCATATCATAAGAGTCCATCCTTGGCATCGAAGACATGCCCATCCCTCCATCCATTCTCCCCGAGTTCCCACCCCCTCCACTGCCTCCATACATCCCCATACCTCCATGCATTGCGTTCGACACCCTACTGTACTGTGTCGAGATGTTGGTGTATCCTGCAGCTCCTTCCTCCAGCACTTTCTCCATCACCATCTCCATAGCTCTCTTCGCATTCGCCAGCTTCCCATCGCAAGTCAACACTCTCTCATCCAGTCCCGGTATCTTCGTGTCCTTGGAGTTGAGCTTCATCTTAGCGCCGCTCTCTTCGATCATGTGCTTGATGTTCTCTCCCCCCTTCCCGATGATCACACCAGACGTCTTCTCCGGCACCAGCATTGTGATCACCACGTCCTTAGTCGCAGGGTCCACGGGATTCTCCTCCCCTGTATGATTGTTCTCCAGCAGCTCCGTGATGATGGCCTTGGCTCCCATCATGACCGCTTCAGTCGTCCCTGTTATCAGCAGCACGCGATCCTGTGTCCCGGGAAAGAAATCGTTGTTGTTCGAGATCCGAATTTTGCACCCTGTACGGCTCTGGACGCTCTGGATGGTGGAGCCGGATTTGCCGATGACTGTGCCGGCATCTTTGTTCGACACAAGAAGCTGCACAAGGAGGGTTCAGAGGAGCAGAGAGAGATCTCGCAAGGATCAAACCTTGATGGCCGACCTGTCAGACTCGTACACATGCTGTCGCTTGCTCCTATCAACATCCCCCTCCACTTCCGTCTCAAGCTGTCGCTTCTTTCCGAAATTCTCCCCTGCAAGCCAAGGAAGGTCAGACGACTCCCCACACCACATTCGAAACTTGCTGGGGAATCGAACAATGTAAAAATCGAGCACGTCCACTCTGCTAACTGTATCGTTTCAACCTGCCCTTCGACTCTGTCCTCAACCAGCAAAGCGCTATTGTCGCTCCCGCGGATCCACCACTGAGCACTCGCCACTAGATCCTTCCATGCATGTGTATCGTCTCATTCATCACCTACAGCATACTGTCTCCTCCCGCCAGCCGCCTTCCTTCCTTTCTCCTTCACTCCCTTTCTCCTGTCCTCTCCTGTCCTCTCCTGTCCTCTCCTGTCCTCTCCTGTCCTCTCCTGTCCTCTCCTGTCCTCTCCTGTCCTCTCCTCCTGTATTCTCACTATCGTCTCTACCTCTTTTCATCCTCCATCTCCTCCATTTCCTTCCCTTCTCCCTCCTCTCCCTTACCGCCTGCGACGATTCCCGCCATCGCACGAGGACCGCGGCAAATCCCTCGGCTTCACTGTGTTGGTTTGACTACCCCTTCTTTCCCCAGTTTGTACCCCTGCATTGCTGACTACCCCAACACCTGGGGGGTGGACCCCGATATATTGTAACCGTCGTCAGTACCAGCGGAGTGTAACGGAGAAACGTTCTGTAACCGTTGTGTTCGAAACTGGGAGACTGGCGGGAACGAGCTCCTGAGGGCATGGCACCGTGGGGGAAGCGAGAACAGAGGAGAGGAGGAGAGGAGGAGAGGAGGGAGGGAGGGGGAGAGGGAGAGGGAGAGGGAGGGTGTGAAGGAGAGGGAGAGGGGATCAAGAGATCTGAAGAAGAGCCATATCTCAACGAGGAGAGGAGGCAGGAGAAGTTCGGTTTCGTAGTGACGTACCTGGAATCGTTGACTTGCATCCTGGACTTGCCGTGTCGTCGGTGAGCAGCATAATGCGTCAGATAGACAAGAAAAGTCTCTAGCTAGATCTGAACGTGTGTAACAAGTCACTCCGAGTACCAGAGAGGTTGTAAGTCTGCATCAATGTGCCTCGATCGATCAAGTTTGTTCTGTATCGACGATCTGCTGACTTGTACCTGCGGTAGACCCACCATGCATAACGAGATCAAGTTAGCCACACAGAGGCTGAAGGGCATCCAGGTGAGACTATCTCCGACCCGCACGCGCGTCTCAACTCAACATGGCAGATTGAGTGCAACGTTCCAATCGACAAGATCAACGCGAGAGTGGAGAAGTAGAAGCTGCTGATGACTCTGACATGCTGCAGTCTCACTTGCTCCAGGTCTTTCTGTCACTTAGTGTCCTCCCAAGACCAGCAGGAGACGTCAGATGTCTCTACGGTATGCTCTCGTTATGTTTGTTGGCTCATGTAATGAATGGAGCAGGGCGAGAAGGCTGTGATCTACAACGCCATCCCTCGCAATGTCGACCAGTCTCTTGTGTTGGAGCCGAAGCCGACGAGGCCTCACGATGCTCAAAGATTGTGAGCACCGTCTGCTTGTGCGCTCTGTCTTATCTTTCCGTGTTCAGATCCATGTTCCTAGAACAAACTCGCCTGCGAGTTGAAGAGCATCGCAGAAGTGCCGGGCAGAACAGGAGCCTGAATGAGAGAGCAGTGTGTCGCGATTTCCCATGGCGGCAGTCTACTGATGCTCGACAGTCTGTGGATGAGAAGATGAAGAGGAGGCTCGCGCAGAGTTACAACCTGATCCCCTACCCAGTGGTGACTGAGTTTGAAGCAAAAGTGCAGCGACTTTGATGACGTCGTGGGTCAGGTTGCGAACAAGAAGAGGACGAGAGCGTGCAAGAGCATGAACCTTGAGTGCTTCGCGGACTGCGGGAGCAGATGCCAGGAGGAGGATCATCACAGGTCAGCCGCTCAGATCGCCAAGGGCCTGGTAGAATCTCAGAAGGCTACGCGGCCGCCCGATGACGATGAGACGCAGGGCACGGAGGTTTACAACGACCTTGAGAGCTCGATGAAGGCCAGGAACTCGCTCCTGATGCACACGTGAGCAGTTTTCGTCGTCTCCTGACGAGCCCTTAGCATTTGCTCAGGAGAATCGTGGAGAACTCGTCGTCCTCCATGTGGCAGTCGGACGACACGAAGAAGTCCTGTACCGAGCAGGAGGTGGGGGCTGAAGGGCAGGAGGCAGACGTCTCCAACGACTCGATGCTGGTGGACAAGCCAGCCAACGAGACTGGAGAGCTCAGTCTGAATCACTCGCACGTGCAAGGAGAGAAGCTGGTGAACCTCTTGGAGGAGAACGAGAGGAGGGCGGTAAGAGGAGTGCGAGAGAGGCTCGCCGGGCCCTGAGCCCTCCGGCAGATGTATAGGAAGATCCAGAAGGCGCTGATGGAGGGCGAGCGGAAGCGGGCCCAGGAGTTTCGCAGCCAGAGAGAGAAAGCTCAGGTAGGGGGGGAGGAGGGGGGAGCGTGACTGACATGGATGGCTGGAAGGCGACGGAGAAGAAGGAGCTGGAAATTCAGAGGAAAAGGCGAGGCCCTGCTGGACAGTGAGCGGCCGAAGCTGACAGGTTGGCAGAGCTGAGATGCTGAAGACCAAACTGCACGAGCAGGAGATGGCGGAGATGGCACGGCAGAAGGTCTGTCACTCCCTCCTCCTCCTCCATGTGGGCCTGTGAGACTTGCGCTGCAGGACATTCAGGCAAGCATGGAAGCGAGGATCAGTGCAGAACGAGACATGGAGGCAAAGCTGCTGGCTGCTAGACGCCAGCAGGTCGAGGCGGAACGGTTCATGGACGCGCTCCGCTGCCAGGTGACTCGTCGCCTTCCTGGTAGAGGCTCATCAGGTCCCCCCAGCACGTGCTCGACCTGCCAAAGTCTCTGCGAAACAAGTACATGGACATGCCGTGAGTCGAAGCTCGCCATTGCTGATGTGTCTGAGGGAGCGACGGCAGGTTGTGCCCGTGCCTGCCGCCAAGGACGATGAACGACAAGAGGGTCTGGCTGTGTGCATGCAACTGCACCCTCCGAAACAACATGAAAGCGTGAGGCTCTCGCGCAGGAGGAGGAGGGAAAGTCTGACAGACTGCGCGCAGGTACCATCGTATGGTTCTCAACTTGTGCCAGTCCGCCGAATCGAATCGATTGTGAACGTGCGAGTTTGAACGTGTCCTCTACTACAAACTTTGTAGTTTATTCTCAGTGCACTCTCAGCTAGGCAGTGTTACGTTAATGTATGTGTTGTGTCTCAGATTACAATCTCAATTTACATGAATGCGCTCAACCCTTGGAACTCGTCGACTAGTCGCGTGCTGGAAACGTCATGGAGCGTGTGGCTGTCGAGGCTGCATGATGTAGACGTGCTTCACGATGTCGCTGCCTCAGGATCTCACCAGCTGCCTCAAGCATAAGAGCCTCACCTGTCCAGCATGTTGTTCGAGTTGGGCAAGGCGGCGAGGGCCTGGCAGCAGTAAGCAGGAGCTGACGTTTGACCCGACTACCTTGATGACTGCAGAGACTGGGACAGAGTATCCCTCCGGCGCTTGGAGCAAGATGGGCTTGTTATATCTGAAGGAGAGGGAGAGGGAGAGGAAGAGGGAGGGGGAGGGGGACCCAGGAGAAATTGTAGAATCACTTCATTCTCTGTGAATTTGTATGATTCTTGTGCAGGTGCAAGAAGACATTGCATGGGAAAGCCCATACGGAGTGTTGACCGTATACGAACGAAGAATTCGCATGCAAGACGACGATGGGGGAGGAGGGGGCCCGGACGGAAACGGCGGAGGGGGCGGTGGAGGAAACTCTGACGATTATCCCCCACTCGTTGGAGGATTGAAGAAGTGGGAAGCCTACTTACAACTTTTGCACGGAGCTGACATGTTCGAAACAGGAGGGCAAAGTGTCAGGTGGCATGTGGTTGGATCTCCCTTGGGGATTTTAGCAGCGTTGTTGTGTTTCCATTTGATTCACGAACGAAGACTTGCTGGCTCATCA